AATGAATGAACTGAAAGTATATGAAAATATAAACAGTTTATCTTTCATATATAAAATGCTTCAATTACAACATCTCCATGCATTTATATAGTGATAAAATCATACATATCCATTTGGGTCTTATTTAAGTCAATAAACTGAATCTCTTTCATTTATTCTGAAATCATTAATGATCTTCTTAAGTTTATACTGAGATTTAATTTTTCACAGCATCTGTTCATCACTGTACAGAGAAGAAAACATGGAAACACATACATCAGTTGTTTGTAAGTGGATTGATTCAGTATTCTCTGAGGTTCCCATTAACCCATGAGTTCTTCCATGTTTGTTACATCTAGTTGATGGGGGAATGGTTAGGAATAAGGATCTGAGAGGGAGGGAAGGAGACTAAGGATGTCTCAACACAATCCATGCCAGAACTATGAGGAAACCACTGACAATGCACACCTTCCTATTAGTAAACTCTTCCTGGTAGTAAAATCACTGGAGTTTAGAGACACCATATATCAAACACTGAGTTATGAACTGCCTCTGTTCTGGGAAATTCTCATTTAATCCCTAAAACATGTATGAGTCAGTAGTTGTGTTAGATTGGATTCCCAGAAGCCGACCCCTAGAAATGGAGGAGGGGAGTAGAAAAGTCAGTAATAAGATATCCAGGTGAAGTCCGCAGTGAATTGGATGCTCCAGGAAATTTCTGGGGTATAAATTACTCATTAAAGTCCCCCCTTTAAGTCGGGGTGTTGGCCTTTCATACTCCTGTACCAGTCACTCTTTGGCTATGGCTCTAGGAGCCCAAGGGCGTTTGCCCAAAGAGAACTACAGGCTTGGGTTTCTCATGCAAATGGTACAGGGGATACAAGCATAATAAATGAGACCTAGGGATCCGGGTGGAGCAAGCTAAGTACTCATACCCCTCATTTGCATAAGGGGAGCTCTTATGCTCAGGTTAAGGGCTTTGCTAAATGTCCCTATTTAAGGGTTCATGTTCAGATTCACACCCAGACAGGTTTGACTTCACAGCTCATGATCATCTCCTGTACCAAAGGTACTCCCTTTCCTACCACAGCCATCTATATAGTAACACACTGTGTATATTACATAGATATTCTTAGTTCACTTTCTAAGGAAGAAGACCCTAAAGGGAAATGTAGTGAAACATTATATTTGGCAATCTGTAGAAGAGCAATGTCTAACAGAAATGCAATGGGAGCCACATATGTAATTTAAAATTTACTAGTGGTCACAATAAAAATGTGAAAGAATTAAGAGAAAATAATTTTAATAGTATATTTTATTTAAACCAAATATACCCAAATATTATTATTTTGACATGCAATCAATATAAAAAGTTACTGGGATAATTCTTCATGCTTTTTATATGATCTTTTTGTGGCTTTTACGCTGACAGCATGTCTCAATTTAGTTGTGAAATACTTATGTGAATTAAGAATTCATAAAATTTACATCTGAAAAAGTTGATTCACAGAGCCAAGTTGATCCAAGCATACTTAGAAGTTTTCCATACTGAATCAAGTATCATTTTGCTAAACTTAAATCAATTAAATTCAATATCAAAAAATCAGTCTCTTAGTCACACTAGCCACATTTCATTTGCTCAATGGTTTCATGTTGATAGTGGTTCCTACACTGAACAAAATGGAAAATTTGCCTTTTGCGAAGGCATGGGATGTAACTGTATACCATCAGGAATCAAGTCACCATTGAATAAATACTGTGTGCCACATGAAGGGACAGGAACAGTTCACTACAAGGGCTTCACAGGTCGAAGTACTCAGAATGAAAATTGGCTGTGTTCATAACTTTGGACCAGAGCCACCCAGGAAGAAGGTAGGATTTGGCTTTTGCTTGATCTTTGCTAAACTGCTTACATGAAATACTTTTGTGGGGGGGGATGTGAATGTTTTTTTTTAAATTAAATTCTTTTATTGGTACATTTTAGGTATACAACACAATTACATTTCTCTTTGGGAATTGTACCTGTACATAATGCATCTTGGTTCTTATTTTTTCCCCATTCCTAGCCCTCCCTTCAC